TAATACTGCTAACTCAATGCCCCTCATCTTGTTACATGAACGCTTCGAAGTAAAACACGGTAAAATTAAAGAAAACAATGGACTAACTCCCAGATTAAGTTTTCACTCAGGCAAAATCCTACATTTCTGTCAGTGTGAGGAATTAGAAGTGTGTGAGACTGAGGGGGAGACAGGAGTTGGACTCCACCCATAGGTGAAAGGGCCGTGTCAAACTCATCCTAATATGTGAAAGGCAGAGAAAAGTTGGGACAAAGAAAACATGAAGTGATCTCTAAAAACCTGAGCTCATTGCTCCAAACACCCTTAAGCGTAGCAGTTATGACTTTTGCTTTTGGGGGGAAAAAAGTTATCCAACAGAGACTGTCCCTTCTCCAACAGCAGCAGACAAAGCAGCAAAGGTGGCTCTCCGGCCTCTGGCCCAGGCAACACAGGCAGGAAGGTTTGTGGCATCCAACACACTGCTTCCACAGGCAAAGTGTACTTTGTGCATACACGGTATCAGCTCTGCTTGTGTTAAAAGTCAGCACCTCAGCAAAAAGGGCACTCGGGCATTTTAAACAAACCCTCTTGCTTCATCATGCAAGGCTGAAGACAAAGGAGCATGACCTTCAGCATGGGCTATGATCTGATTACACAGTCAGGGTAGTGTGAATTCTGGTTAATAGTCTGCGCTCAAGATCATTTTAGAGTATCTTCAGTTCTGCTATACTAGCTTGGTTATGGCACACCCATTTTGTTATGTCCACATAAATTTGGTAACACGAAGGAAGAGCCACAACATCACATTCCTGAATGATGTTACTTTTTACACCTTGATAATCCTGGCAAATACATCTCAGGGGTGGATATATAAATCGGGAAATGGGCAGAAGGGAATACAAATTCTGTCTCCTCTTACCATTGGGCACTTCTGCAATAGTATATCTTAGTAGAGAAATAGAGCCAACAAAGTGTTATGTCATGTCACTTCTCCAAGGTTACATTGGAAATCGGTGGCAGATACTTTAGATGTTTACTTTAAATAGAGCCACTGTAATTTTCCCCATAGGCAACTGCATGTGTAATGGCAAAAGTTGGGTTTGAATATCACTTCCCCTGGCATTAAATCAGAGTCAGAAATGTAAGCCAATGGGAATTACGTCCCTGATACTGATGCCTTTAGAAGTCTCCTACTCACCTATCAAATTCTGGGGTGATTAAGGGGAAGGGCATCTAATATCCTAAAGCTCTGCTTGTTTTCATAAACAACTCCCAAAGTTCATGTGCAGTTCATCTCTTTTTATAACACATATTTAGACAGCCATGGTTTTGGCAATTTTCTATTTTCCGACTGCCAGGCATATTTCTGCACTATAGCACCTGCTCTCTTCTAGTTCTGATTCTGAAGCACTGGCGACATGTGTCAGCAGACACTTATCCTACCTCCAACTGGAGCTTCAGGCATGGATATTTTCGGTTGAAAGAAATATCTCTGATCTTGGAGAAGATGATCATGGGTCATACATCCCAAGAGTATCATGGGAATTTTTCAGTAACAGTAAAGAAAATATTTGTAGAGGTATTTTGTCAGGGCATTCAGAGCCAACTCTAAATAGGAAACAAATTTAATTGAATTTATCTGGTTGCATTAAAGGAAAAAATGCACCTATGTCTAAGCAACATAAAAATTCATTGGAGTTACTGTTGATTTACACAAGTGTAAAAATGTCAGGATTAGATCTATAGATTCGAGATCTCTTCTTTCTGAAAGAATATGGAATGAATTCACTGGGAACACAGGAAACAGAAATCTAATCTTTCAGAGAAATGTAAAATTAAGGCAATCTCAGGGTTCAAATTCAATGACATTTTTGCCAGAATATTAATATTTTGCCAGAATATTCCAAAATGGGAACTGTGAATCTGCTATTGGCATAACTGAGATTTGAGCTGATAGGTAACCTGGCATATCCAGCTTGTTGCCACATGAAAGCAAAATCTTATATTCTTCTTATTATCGCTCTTCAGAATTAGATGTTATGCGGCAGACAGAATCTAAGGAATCAGCAGAGTTCTGGCTGGCTCTGCCCTGCCCGACTCCCACGCACTCCTGCCAGAGTATGTGGACGTGTTCAGCTGCGTTTACTCACTCACCTGTGAGGTAAACTTTGCCCACCAGGCCAGTAACTGAGTGGGGAGAATTTCTTGGCAAGTACAATTACTGCATTTCTTTGTGAGACCAAGTTATTTCAATTTAGCAAGAAACAGAACACTTATTTCTTTGGTTCGATGTTATCTTCTGGCCATGGATAGATGTCCATACTGATTTTATTAGCTTTCTCAGCACCTTTTAAAATAGTAAAAAATGGAGGGCTGTGAACTTATCTGCAATATCTGGTGCAAAACAGATAAGCAGCTCCAATCACTCCCTTCAAGCTGGATGCAGAAGGACATGAAAAACACATCTAATTTCTCATTGAGATTTCTCTGTACTGAGGTTTGCAGGGGTCCTCACTGTTCTCCTTGCTCATCACAGATTCAAAGACTGTGGGGAGCTTCTAAAATGATTTTGTATGCTTTGGTGTGCTTTAATTTCAGATTGTAGCCTGTGCAATCACTCCCTAAATGTCCCAAAAGGTGTCAGCTTTGATTTGCTTTGTTGATGCCTGACAGAATTAGGATGAGGAAAGCTCCAGCTACATGCAAGAAAAAAGACTGTGAGAAATCAATGGGGTTATAATTGCCAGTCCTGTGCAGAGGCTATCTCCACCTTTTGTCTCAAGAGGTTTATCCTCACCTTTTTTGATTTCTGAGAAAGAAGCAAATCTTTCCCAATTACATCCAAGATGTATTCAATGTACAAATTCAGTGTATTAAACTTTTCTACTACTTTACAATAATACTGTTACTGATATACTCAGTGTAAATCAAACTTTCTCTACTCATCTTCATTACATACAAGGCTGAGAAAGGTATAAACAAGTGTGGGTTAAAATCTGAAAGCCCAGAACTTCAGATCAGATTTAAACATCATTTTTTCTCTTTTATGGGATTAAGCCAGTAACATTTAAGAAAACCCAAATGATCTTTTCTTCCCCCAAGGGAGACACAAAAGCAGAAAGAAACTCAAAAAGTCAGTCTTGTGCTAAGATTTGCTATGACAAGTTTAAGCCTCAAATTATTATATTTTTAATGTCCAAATTGCAAATCCATGGGGGAAAAAAAAAGAATTTCTCAAGCAGTTGCTGAGAGAAAAGCAGCAAGAGGGCCTTTTCCCAGTGATTTGAGAACTATCTTTACAGTTACAGAAATTCACTGTGAAGCGATATGCTTGACCATATCTTGCCATAATAGTTTCTAGTATGTGGAACTTAACCTTTAGGCAACTGAGCATAAATTAGAGCAGCTTAGAACCTCCTCAAAATTACTTTGGGTCTGACTTTCTCTTTAATCAGGACACCAGACAAGGCTATCTATTAACCTCATATACATTGATTATCATTTGCTTTAGACATATCTTGCTAAATACAAAATAAACAATGATGACAACATGCCCTGGTAGGAATAGGTATTTGGATTAAATCAAGCTTAAGTGATTTAAGTGATCAAGGTTACTACACCTGCAGAGTACGCTGAAGCAAAACTAGACAAAAAAAGAGAAAATCACAAACTTTGTTTAATATTAAATATTGTGAATTTACTATTTTTTTCATTCTCATAAAATAAATTTTATTGCCCAACCTCAAAATGGTGTCTTGCTACTATTTCAGGTATCAGAGCACAAGCCAGTCACGGAGATCAACTGTTCTTACAGGGGAGCGGGTTAAGTGAACAGAGTGCTAGCATGATAAAGCAAAGGGAAGCCTTATTGCCAGCTAGAAAAACAGCTGCTTTATTTATTACCACTATTTATTACTAGATTTTTTATCATGGCATCTGCACAAAAAAAAAAATAATTAACACACTTCCTTGTAAATTAACACCTTTGGAGAATTCACATTTTTGGGATTCAGTGGTTTCAACGTAGATTGAATAAAACAGAAAAGAAAACTGAACTCCATTGGGCATTACAGATGAGGTTTTCATAGTGGGAGATCTACTGTTTGTAGGAACTGCCTATGTTCAGTCTGGTAGAAAGATCATGAGTCACCTGCACTCTCAGTGCAGCCTCTCGGAGGCAAAACAGGAATATTCAGTGATTATTGATGCACACCTACGTACACAAGCTTTCCTCATCTATGATCGCTTGCTACCAACGGCATGGTTAGGTGGGGGTCACTCAGTAAGCCAAGAGTTACCATGTTCATTCGAAACTCGTTCTGAAACCTTGAGAGAGAATCTGGGGCCCTGGCGGCTACAGACTAGAAAATGTTATCTGATAAACTAGGTTGTTAGGAAAAGATATTTGACATCAGACAAGATGACTAGCACCACTTTCTTCAGTTCAAGTCAGACTGTAGCACGGATGTTTTTCTAGAGCACAGAGAGAATGCAGCCAGTCTACATCTCTCAGAAGACTCCTCGCCTACTCCGATACCACCTCCTCGTGCATCTCATTCTCAGCGACTCCAGCTCCTTGACACATTTCCAGTTTCAGTGCTCTATATACCAACCATGCTGATTTTGTCCCCTCTGTGGTGTCTAATCCACAGAATACAGTTCTGAAAAACATTATCTTCAGAGTCATGCAAAGTATATACAAGCTGTGACATACAATTGCAGAATACACATCAAGTGTGGGTTTACTATTCATATGTAGCTAGAATACAAATTCTTTTTCTGGGAGTGGGAAGAGGAAAGGAACAGACTCCTCACACCCACTCTGCATATTTCTGTTTTGCTTCTGACTTGGTGCAAATTAATGAATATTAAATTGGTTCCAGTCACTCAGGAAATTTTTATTCAAAAATGATAAAACCAGACGAAGTGAAAAATCTCATTTTCTGTTTGCTTACCTGGAACGCCGTGGTGAGCAGGTTTCCTATTCAGCTGGGTGACTTTTTGGTATGTGTTTTGCAGGCTTTTTGGTTTTGTTTTGGTTTTGGCAAACAAGTAGTCTTCAGTGTTTTTACAGCAGTGGCTATTACAGAAACTATGTCTCTTGCACTTCTTATCTTGGAGGGTGGACAAAATAAACAAACTGAAAATAATACTACAATGAACAGTAAATGATGAATGGTTTACAGTACAAAAAATAGTGTAAAAAGGAAGACAAGTTTAAATATTGTTGTGTATGAAAGGGATGAAAATAATACAAGGATGAGAATAAGTAAAATGATAGGCTGGAACATCTGGGAAAGTAAATACAAAGACAAAGAGAACAGTCAATTAATGGAATAGCAGGTCCAAAGTTTCACCAAAATAGTGAATCAGACTGTGCTTGCAGAGGGACCAAGTGTCCATCTCCCATTGACTTCAGTAGGAGTTCTGCATGGTCAAGCCCTGAAATGCCCAATTTTACTATTGCTGTCATTTGTTTAGAGAAAATACTAATTAGTTTGCTTTAAATTTGTATAAGCCCATGCAGTGCTCTGCCTTGAAGCTAATGGGAGCTCTACAAGCTCAGAAAGTGAGCATGCTAAATGCCTTTTCTGTTTGATTTCATGCAATACATGTATAGTAATTGATTATCTTTAAACTCACTGCGTCTGTGACTTTCTGATACAAGGAAACAAAAGACTAATTAGTCAGCATAGAAATAAGAAATAATACCTTACAGCTTCACCTGGCAACTACTTTGACTTTAAACTAGCACGACAGCACAAAGTAAATTAACACAGCAAGAGACTTAAAAACATTGGATAATACCATTAGCAATAACAAGATTTGCCAACTATAGGATTGCATGAGGGTAGGTAATTTTCATTTTTCATGGCAAAAGATCTTGAGTCAGCACGGCATTTGCTTGCCAAAATCTCTGTGTCAATTCTTCATAAAAATGAACTACAGAAAGATGCTAGTCACTGCTGCGTGTAAGCCATGACCCACAAGACTTCAACAAGATATAATCAGTTACAGCAATTCCAATATTCACACTACTGTGTGGCTCTGTGACTCTGTAAAGTAGATTTGCATGGTTTATTTTTCTCTGTGGTTTGTCATATTCTCTGTGATTTTGGAAATTTAATGTATGCTCCTGTTTAAAATTAATAAGATTTAATTTTTATTCATTTAACAGGAACCCAGCAACTAAGAAAACTATAACGTTCCTTTATGTGCCAAAAATGCTCTCTACTGGCAATGAAGGCACAACTCTGGCAAATGCAGTTGCAAAGCCAGAAAGGAGTAAAATCTTCCACCTCCTAGAGCATAATTCTTTTAATTCTAGGAGACCAGACTTATCCACTGTTCACAAACAGCCCCAATGGTAGAACAAGGCTTCATATGGCCAAATGAGGATGTAAAATAACTCAAGAGAGAGCAATTTTTATCCACTGTCTAGAATAAAGAATTTTCATGTGCCATACATCAAAATTGAGGATTAATTCATTTGGCAGAGCCTTTTTACCTGTAGGCCGTAATAAGTAAAAGTCTACCTGACTCACTGACAAAGGTTCATCTGCACTTCGATCATCCGAAGACTTTGGAACTTCGAGTCTGTCTATGAAAGCCTGGAGCTCTTTCCTGAAGGCCTTCATCTGTGCATTGATCCGGTAAAGAAGCTCATGCTCGCGTATTCTGCTGCCATCATCTTCTTCATCCATCAGTCCAAAGAGGTCCCCGTTAGCTACATAAATTCTCGCCTCTGTTATGATAGTGCTTGTGTCAGAAATTAAGCGATCTATTGTCTTGCCCAGCCGCTCAGCTTCAGAGCGAATGTCCTTCAACTGCTGCCTGTCAGTGAAGCTTTTCTGCCACCCAGATGGTGTTGGATAAAAAGACCTCGTGGGTGTCAGGCACCGAATGTTGCGTACCTCTTCAGAGTCGCTTTCCCCACCGATGGGGCCTTCCCTTTTGCGGTGAGGGGGGCGGGAATCATCATCACTCTCTTTTTTTCCTGCATCACTTTCCGCATCACTGTCTCTGGGACTGCCACGGATCCCAAGATGAGAGGCCAAGTCATAGCGTTGCATGTTGGACATTAAGACTCTGTTCTCATACTGGAGTTGCATGACTTTGCCACTCAGCTCGTTGATCTGCATTCGTGCAGCTTTTAGCTCCTCCTGTAACGCTTCTGTCTTGGCATTATCATGGTGCCTAGAGCTCTCATGTGCCCCAGACTTGTACTTGTATTTGTTCAGCTCAGCTGTAATGCGCTTGTTTTGTTCTTCCAAATCAGCTAAATTTCTCCTCAGCAATTCTGTTTCATCTTCTACTAGCTGCAAATGCTGTCGTAATTCTGACAGGGATTCACTCTGCTCTCCCAGGAGTGGGTTAGCAGTCCCTGAGAAATCATCTCCTCTTAAATCATCAAGCTCTGCTTTCAGTCCTCTATTTTCTACTTCTAGTTCCACTATTTTCCTCCCAAGAATGTTAGCTTCCTCCTCCACAAGTCTCAATCGAAGTTTGAGTTCAGCTTCTCTTGTGGTAGGTGGTCCACCTGCTTCACCTTTTGGCAAGGGACTGTCCAAATCCCCATAAAACGATCTGTATTTTTGCAGCTCATGTTCAAATCTGTCTTTCTCTTTATCGATCTTAGCCATCTTCTTCCTCATCAAGGCTGCTTCTTCTTTGACAAACTGTAGCTGGCATTTCAGATCTTCATTGTCCTCCTTCGAAAAAAGAAAAAGAATTATTTGAAGAAACTTGATGTAAAACAGGAGACCTCCAGTGGATGGTCTTAAACTACAAGATTAACAATTACAGGTACATAGCTTTAGATGAGAAATTTTCCTGCAATCATTTTTTCACTGATCAATAAATTAAAGTGAGGAAAATAAATACTTACATTTAAAAGCGGGGAAAAGACTATTTTACTTGAGACTAAAGTTTGCACACATCCCAAAAAATACCCTGTGGGTGTGGGGGGCTTATGAAAAATCCTTACATTTTCTAGGCTTGCAACACTGTAATAGACTTTACAGTGTTCAAAAAATCTTGGAGTCAGCACACAAAGGGCCTATAATCTTGTTTCACTGGTGCTCCCATTTACTTATTTTGCCTAAAATATAGAGTACGTTAAAGCTGGTGGGTTCTGTTGCAGCACCAGCAGCTTGTCTGGGTGGTCCTTGACATAGTGTTGTCTGACTGCAGATCTGGGTAAGAGCTCTCTGTTTCACAGCATACAGGAAAACAAAGAGCAAAGCAAACAAGGAAGCAAAGTGCAAATCTACAAATTGTGTACATCATTTCCATAGTGTCCCTGAAGCCTTCACATGAGAATCCAGGCTACTGTTATTACAACATACCTCTGTTGGTGTCTGCTGTGACTTTTTTTCTGATTTTGGTAGGTCTTTGCTCCCTCTTCTTTTCAGTGATTGCTGCAACAACAACAACAAAATGAGATGCACTGAATATTTCACTAAAGAGGTATATAATTCAGTCGCTCTTTTAAAACATAGCAAGTTAAACGCAACTGTAAAGGAATTAATTTCTTGAAATCTTTGAGATACCAAATACAGAGGGGAGACACAGCTGCCCAAAAATGACATAGCAATGTTATACAAGTAAAGTATTGGTTTAATCAGTCTGCCACCTTTTTTTATTAAACATATTTTAAGGATAGTGCATAATGAGCGTTTAACACACGACAAAAGAGGTAAGAAAACAGATATCCCAAGTGGTAACATACAGATGGGAAAACTGAGGAAAGCAGTGAAGGCCAGATTTGGTCTTGTCCATTTGATATTAACCCTAACGAGGCCAAGGCACTCAAATATGTGTCTATCCAGACATGTGGCCTTAGCCTGTGTAGTAGGCAAACTACATGAAACAGTGTCATTGAGTTCCTGTCAACTGACTTGAGTGTACATCTACAAGCACACCTTTCTCTGTGTCCCACCCACATGTCTTCTCATCTGCTGTGTAGCCAAAGTGAGTAGAAAAGAAACTCCTGCTTTTAGAGCAGGATGCACTGGGATCAAAGCCTACTAACATATCCAGCAAAAATACCGTAATTCCTGACAGTAGCAAGTTCATTAGTGGGTAAGTGGTAGCAGTGGAAAACAACTGCAACCATCCCACTGAAAACACTCAATACAGATCACCAAGAAAACAGCAGGAGAGAGGAAAGCGAGTGAGAGAGTATGTTAATACATAATATCCCGCTTGCAGCTGTTCCCAGTTTTTATGCTCCGCAGGTAAAACGCGGGCCCTGAGGCAGGGCAGGGATACAACCAACACCGTCACCCTCTGTGGTTATTCTCTGGTAGAAGGATGCTTTGTGCCGCTGAGAAACGTGCATTTCCCTGCAGCAGCCAGGGAATCCAACTGTTTCTAAAAGCCATCCAGTTCCATACAGTGGGAATTAAAATATGTTCATTATCCTCATGGAGCAGACTACAGTGGGCGAGTATGCTGTACATAACGATCCTGTGCACTAGTCGCCTGCTGGTGCCAATTGTTCTCTTTCTTCTGCAGATCATCCCCATAACAAATACTAAGCTTGTGGGCTGCTCACTCCAAAGGAAAAGTCAATGCCATAGAAATGACTCACTTATAAATATGAGCAAACACAAGAGATTATTTCCCATGAGGCTTTTTGCTCAAATTCACTAGTTATGCAAGAATTAAGTAAAATGACCTCAGATTCACAATCAGAACTAAAATTCACAGATGGATTCACCAAGAACCAGAATTAAAATTTTTATGCTTATTGCAGAAACACTGAATGCTCAATGGACAAAACAATAAAACCAAAGAAAGATCATTGGCATCTTAGCTGTGATACCTGGATAGCTGTGAATCACAGAATTCTAAAAGAATCCAGAAAAAACACAAAAAATTGTTAAACTCACTCACTCACTCATTCCTTTAAAAATCAAGCCAACAACTTTGGGATCCAGTCTACAAACAAAACTATTTTTCTCCAGGGTCACCCATCAGTTATCCTATTGCAGAAATGGTATGTGCATGTGGAGGGATTTTTTATTGGTTTTCTTTTTGAATCGGCAAATTTATAAAGTGTTAAATTTTCAGAGGGCAGCTTCCTCCTATGTATTACCACTGAATGTACCACTATGTAGTATCACTTTGAAAAGCCGCTTTTCAAATCAGTTAACACTGCAAACTTCTTGCATCAGATTCTTGCCAATGCCATTCCCCAATAAAATAACTGAGACAGTTAAACTGTATTTCTACTTGATTACCTAAATGCCTTCTATTCACCCTGCTGAGCTCAGCATCTCTCCAGATATAATGAGGTTCTGAAATGCTGAGCTGCAACTTCTTATGTACCCTACAACTTTTCAGAAGATAAAAGAGATATAGAGAAAAGTTTCCCATGGAAAAAAAAAGAGAAACTACAGAGGGCAAAAAATATTTTTATGAGTGTGATATAAAATGAAAAATCTGTTTGTCTCCTTTCTCTCAATATCTTTTCTGTTAAAGTTCCTTTCAGTAGTCAGGATAGCAATACTTCAATTACAGCAATAGTTGTGGCTATGTAACAACTAGGCACTGCCTTCTATTCCGCTCTGCTTGAATTACAACAACCCATTCATGGAGCTTGCATTATTCACCAACAAATGATGGTGTTTAGCAACACAATTTTATAGCAGAAAGCAATGAAGAACATGCACAATTCAGTTAGCGGGACGATTTGGGCAAGTGGATTAAGCCCAGCTAGAATTAGTATGATCTGTTTTCTTGTGAAAAACAGCGTAAGCCAATTTCTGATCACGAGAGGTTAAGATCTCACTTTCACATCGCAGTTGACAGATGACATCTGCAAAATCACAGTGCCCCATAACATCATGTTAGGGCACTGAGGCAATACTCGTACTGAACAAAGAATGCCACATATCAAGCAGTATATTCTGCTATAAATAATAAATTTTTGAGAGTTTTTTTCAGAGATCCATTTTACAATTTACAGTGGCTACTCTTTCTATCATTTCTCTCAAGTCTTGTGCTAATTAAACAATTTATTGCTGCTAATGAAAAGAAGTATCAAATCAAAACAGAAAAAGGAAAAAAAAGTTCAAATAAACACAAGGCAAAAATAAAAACAGCAATCCAGATTCCTGCAAGTGAATCTTCATTTTATGCCTGCAACTGGACACTATTAAAACTGTCTGTGTGTTGCTTGTTTTGACATACTAACAAATGTTAGACAGGGCCAGTGAGTGATTCAGCCACCTTCATGTACTAAATTTGTTTGCTCAAGAATTTTTGTGTTTGATCGCCTTTTGATATAATTCTCCACTTGATCCTTTCCCATGTCACAGTGTACCACAAAACATACACTAAAAGCCACCTCTGCTGTTTTCTCAACTATAGCAAAAAAAGACTGTCCCTCATATTCTAGAATTGGTTTTGAGAGTTTGTTGTGAAGGATAATTTTTGGGCTCAGATAATTTTTCTTCTGTATAATTTTAAAAATCATATTCATTTCATTCTACTCAATGATTATGAGTTAAAAAAAGACAAAGGTAAAAGTAACAAACCTAAGACTGCTTTTGCGCTATCTGATCAGTAATGTTTTATGGTTTTAATAACCTTGAACCAAGTTACCCATCTGCAGGAGAAAAGAATAAACAAAAAATGCATGCAATACTGTTTCTACAATGGGGAGTTTGCAAAAGTGCTCAGGTACTACTGAAGTATTTCAACAGCATTAGGGATAATAAGACCAGCAACTGCGACATGTATCATTACATTGTATAATCTCTGCTTACCTCTGAAAGACTAGGAGGTAAAACTGGGTTTGACCTGACTGTTCTAGCATTCACTGTAGTCAGTACACATGGGGATGAACGTGTGTTCTGGCAATGCCGAGAAGCTTCCACAGTCTAGATTAGACCTCAGATAATGTTCGTATTACATGCACACTGGATGACATGCAGTGGGCAATTCTGGTGCGATGTTCAGCAGCATCAATTCTCCACTGACCTTCACCGGAGTTTATCCAATGCCTTGCTGGAGATGCTAAGCACTTCTCAAGACCAAATGGTATAATCCTTCTCTTTCCAGCCCTAAACTGCAAGCCAAATGTGCAGTCCTAACAACACCTTTGACACTCAGTGCTTCTCAGGCATAAAAAGATCCGAAATCTACTCTGAGAATAACACAATCTAGAAATACTACCATTACACTCCATTGAGAATCAAAGCTGTAAAATGAACTCAAATTCTTGCTGCCTGATCCTAAGCTACAGTAAATCTCTGCAATTAATAAAGAAGCCCTAAGCAAAACACACCAAAGATTTTTCAAGACGCTTATGTGTGATTATTTCAAGCCTGACCTGGGGGTATATGATCTAAAAATCAATGTAGGCAATCACAGGAGAAATTCCCGACACATAAAGGGATTTATGGGTGCACAGAGCCCCCTGAGCAGACCTTATCCCTCCTCACAGGGCAGGCTAAGGCAAAGGGCATGCAGCTGCTTGAACCTCCAGAGCGGCAACCAAACCTTCTCACCTGTACACAACTGCACCGTACACGGTTATGGTTAGCTGCCTGCCAAGTGCTGTGACAGGTCTGCAGAGCTTTCAAAAATCAAAGCAAACCTAACACCATCTTTACAGTCCTGAAAAGCCACTGAATATTGAACAACTGTTGGGCTGCACAAACTTGCCTCTGTCTGGCACAGTCTGACTATGACCAGGGAAATGGAAATTTGCCCTAAGACTCTCTCTGTATTTCCCTTCAGTCAATATGGTCAGCTAGCTCGTGGAGCTGGATCAAAACAGACGCAAGACAGATTTTTTAGTTTACTGCCACTGACTTTAATTCAATGTATTAATATATGTAGTAAAACTAAATGGACACTATCCATGTTGGCAAATTGAAAATGCACATTCTCCTAAAAAAACACAATTGTTTTTAAAATGTCTCCCTCATTTTGCAACTCTATCAGTGCAATTTGCCAGCAACAAACTCAAGAGAGTGGCTTTGTCTGTCATTGGCACAAGTACATAGAATGATACAACCCTTTAGTCCTTCCACTCCCCTTCAAGGGCAGGAGCCGTCCTGAGTATTTCAGTATTCTACTTGCTTGCAAAATTAAGGCAGGAAAGAAAAAGCAGGGGATAAGTGAAACGTAAAAAGCACAGCACTCCCTGTCCATGAAGAAACACTAGGCATATCCCTATTAGCTCTAGCAACACTCTTTTTATATTAAAATTGGCATATTTTAAAATAGTGAGGAATGATACAAAAAGAAAAATAGTTCTTATGTATTTTTTTAATGTCTTCATATTGCAGAAGAGAAAAGAGGAGCTGCCCTCCAATACTTGTATTATTTCATTTGCATTTATTTAGGAGTTATTTCAGTTATCATTTTCAGATCCTTGTCAGTATTCATTTGCCAATTAGAT